CTATCTATCTATCTATCTATCTATCTATCTATCTATCTATCGTGCCTCCTAGATAGAGTGAATTTAATTGTGGTTGAATGAGAAGTATAAATATATAAAATTATGATACCGTATTAGTTTGTACACAAACATATCATGCCACACTCCAGCAGGACATAATCATTAAAATAAAAGTACTGTACTTAAGAAGTATTTGTATTTCATGAATTATATTATTGCATTTGGCCGCATGCCTCGGAAAGATTTTTATTTTGGGGAAAAGGTTTGGGCAGCCTTGATATATGTATATAATAATGTATAATATATATTTATGTTTTTTATTTTATGAATGTATGCATGTTTTATTATGTGTACAGCACTTGGGTGCTGTGGGTGTTTAAAGTGCTCTATAAATAAAGATGGTGTGGTATGGTGTATAAACTGAAACAGCTAGACTATCCATCCATCCATCCATTTTCTGTACACGCTTCTTCCTTTTCAGGGTTGCGTGACAGCTAGACTAATGCAACCTAAATTTTACATAAATTAATTATTTTAATATGACAGTCATTTCTGCATTTTTTTGGGAAATTCACCTCCTAATAAATGGCATTACAGAAAATCGAACTGCTCATTTTAAATCAATACTTTTACTTTTAATACTTAAGTACAAAAAATAACAGATACTTTAACTTTTACCAAAGTAGTTTTTTGGTAAGATAATTGTACTTTTACTCAAGTATCACTTTGTGGTACTTTTACACTGTTAATCAGTTATTATTAAACCTAAATGTTTGCCTGGATTATGACTGGAACTGAACGTTAGTCTAAAAACACACATATTACATTAATCATGCATAAAATCCACAGCACTATGCACCTCATGCACTTCATGATTGGTAAAAACAAAAATGGCAATGGAAAAACTTCAAAGCTTACCCACTATGACCTATCCCTTTGTGTTAACATAAAACTGCTGACRCCCCAAAACTTAGAACCCAATTTTCCATCAACAGCATCAGATTGTTGGTGCATTGTTTCACTAATGGAACAGATCATAAAGCTAAATAAAAATGAGTAAATACTGTAGGTCTGCAGCAAATGTTGTAGAAGTCTGGCCCAATTGGTACATGAACAGGAAGAAAAAGGAGAGTTAACTGGTTGGGACAGGGTGATTAACTTTAACTGATCGGTAAAAAGGGGTCTGTGTTAGCGTCGGGTTAAGAGAGCTCAGCAGGGAGGGGCAAAGGATTTAACATTTTAATCCCAGTTTTAATCAAGGGGAAAGATGGGAATCAGTTAGAAGGATACATCAAAGAACTGATCATTTATTTATATCGTATGTCTCACGTGTCATCTGAAAGAGGCTGCTTGCAGTAAAGATGTTAGTGATGTTTAAATTAAGATTGTGGATAAAATGATCATGCTCGTCAAAGCTTTTGCGTCATGCGTTGGTTTCGTGGTGTCAGTAATGGGCCTGCAGGTGAATGACATGCATGGGTAAGAGGTTTTAGGAAGGAGAGAAATACTGTACCAATTGGCACGGGGCATCCAGCCCGTCCAGACCTGGCTGCCCTGGTTCCCCCTTTTCACCCTTAAATCCCCGGAAACCCTGTTTGCAAAGACGACCTAGGAGTGTTACTGGGAGAGAGGTGGACGACCCTTAAACCCCCTTTATCTGTCCAACATGACAGAACCACGGGGAAGGTAAAGGAGGAGCCGCCCTCTGAGCTTGCTGATCCCAACGTTACACATTTTGTGTCCAAATTGCAGGAGGAAGTTACAGAGTAAGAGTTTCTGGATTTTTGGTGAGTCTTCTAATATAAAGGCTAGGAAACTTGGCCTCAGTGGACCCAAAGGGAGCTCCTCCTTATTCAGAGCGTCTGCTCTTCATGGCTGGTAAAGTCCAGCTCACAGTTGGAACATACCAATGGGCAGGGCGCATCTAATCCAGGAGCACCCTGTTCTCCTTTCTCGCCCTTAGGCCCTTTTTTGCCCTTCTTTCCCTTCTCCCCCTGTGGATACAAGTGTTTGGTCAAGTTAATTTAAATTTTCAACAATTATGTCCACCACAAGAGGGGATTGAAGGGGGCTTTCTGTGGCCCAGGATGGGGTAAAAAGGACGTGGTCAGATAGGTTAGATAGGAGGGGGATGCCAGGCAGTGTTGGGTGGTTTTTAAAAAGGAAGAGGAGAATAAAAAGGGAAACAAGAAAGGAAAGAGAGGAAAACACCCCAATATTATAGCGGTGTGAAGGGCACAAAGGTTGAGAAAGACTAACAGTAACATACATCTACAAAGAAACAATTATTTCATCTGTACTCTGTGAATACTCACTGTCCGAATCCCATTTCATCTATTCCCTCTGCCATTTCCTGTTTCTCTGATCCTAGAGTCTGACCATTCATGTTACCAAACAGGGGTGTCCCTTGGGTGAAGTTATAGGGCTTACAGGCTCTACAGAAGCACAGGAACATTTCAAACCAACCTACACTGGTAATCAKAGTTTTCTCTGGTAAAACGCAGAGGTGTAACAACACATCGACTTACATCAATGTAACGATTAGTCCAGTCTAGCTTTTATCATTTGAGACTTATAAGTAAAGTCAAGGATTACCTGCCTCATAATGCACTTGAGAGGGTTATTCATGCTTTTATCACTTCTAGACTGGAYTACTGCAACTCTCTTTATTGTGGGATGGATCAGTCTTTGGTTCGTCGTCTACAGCTGGTTCAGAACTCAGCTGCCCGTTTATTAACAGGGACAAGACGTCGCCAACACATTACTCCAATTTTGTATTCTCTTCACTGGTTGCCTGTTTCTTTTAGAATTGTTTTTAAGATTTTGTTTTTAGTTTTTAAATGTCTAAATGGTTTGGCACCTCATTATCTCACTGAGCTTTTACAGCCTCGCATTCCAAATAGATCCCTGAGATCTGTAAATCAAAAGCTTTTAGTTGTTCCCAGGTCTGGGCTTGTGACCAGGGGAGACAGAGCCTTTTCAGTTGCAGGACCTCGGCTCTGGAACAATCTCCCACTGTCTGTGAGGTCTGCTGGGTCTCTAAATGAGTTTAAGTCTCTGTTAAAAACTCATCTGTTTAAACAGGCATTTGAGTCTGAAGAGCAGGATCATTAGGTCAGCCTTTGTTTTGTTTGATTTTATTGTTCATTTTATTACTGTACTTTGTTCAATGTTTTTATTTTATGCTCCTGTACAGCACTTTGGTTTTTATTGTACTTTATAAATAAACGATGATGATGATGATGATGATTAAATGTTTGATTCAATTACATCAAGTCAAAATGAAAACATGGATCTACAGTATACTATCATCATATGCCCAATATTGGCTGATGTTTCTATTGCAGTCTTGTGAAGTGAATCAAAATTGTATTATAACAGGGATATCGAAAAACATTGTATCATCATCCAGACAACTCGATGTAATACTGCATTGTGGTAAAGCTGGTGATTTACCCCCCTAATTGTCTAAACCAGCAGAGAACCACTATCCAGCATCTTCTCCTTGTTTCCCTGCTCCAGCCTGAGCAGAGAAACCTCTAAATTGTACAGGATAGTGGCCCTCGAGGACCAGGACTGGGCASCACTTGTCTAAATTGATGTTTTAACTTGAGTATTGCTGATCGTCTTTAACAAGCATAATCAAAATATTGTTGCAGGTTAATTAACCTGCTACATGGTGTATATGGACATCATGTCATCCATTCAGATTTTTATACTCACCCAGAGGACACCCCAGGACATTGTGTCAGTTTATATCAAGGTAATCTGTTACAATTAACAGTATGTCAGCTTCCTGTAGGGATGTCATGTTTAGTTTGGGAATATTTGACCCACTTCCCCTTGYGACTTCAAAATAAGAGCCAAGGAACAGGTTGAGGTGACATTAGGAAATGGGATTTGGCCAATGTTTATACGTAATTGTCAAAATAAACAGTAAATCCACTTATATATTCATGCACATGTCTTATTAATATCATCTTAACTGTGGTAAATGRTTATTTGAAGAACCTCAGTTTAGAAAATTATTTAAATTCTGACTGAATTGGCAAACAAATGACTATTTTGAATGCGGACAAGATATGCTGTCTTTTAAAAAAAGCATTTTTTATTGCCGATTCAGATATTATTGTCTGATGGAACAAATACAGTTTCAGTTTCAATCACTTCTAAATGTTTAAACCCTGAAAATATGTTGAAATTTAAGTTTTTTTAGTTTAGAGCACAGACACTTACTATCATCTTGAAAAAACTCTAATCCTAAAAGCTATTTAGCAGTTCAAGCGTTATTTCATAAAACACCTAAATACACCCTCAGTTTTGCATTACATGGTTATTTACACTGCATTTTGTGGTTATTAGTAAGTGAAAATTGTAGCAGCAGAAGCTAGCTGTGGCATTTTTGGTGTTGCTTTTGGCAGGAAACTCATTCTGGTCAAACTGAAACAATTTCTCCAAACTGAGGTTGTTCAAAGTACCACCTATAACAAATACGAACTATAATTTTAAGGACAAACAACATCTTATAAATTTTAGTAATTTCAACAGAAACAGACAGTGATTACAGGAAGAGCAGTGAGGTAAAAAAAATGGTTAATGAAAATTTTCCAACAGGCTCAAGAGTAAGGGACATGAAAGGTAACACTTGAGGTTCATGCATGGAAAAACACACAAAATGAAACAAGTATGAGCCTGTTGTCAATGGACATGTTTGGGGTAACATGTTGATTTCACTTTTTGATGCTTGAYAATGAGATCAGATTTCGAACGATGGGATGACAAACTGTTGAAGAGAGGAAAACAAACGCTGGTCTGAGAGGAGTTGCSGTGAGATTTTATTGCAAAGGCTGGATCCCAAAACTGTAATCCAATTGGTTTATCTAGAAAAAATACAGTTAAACAGACTGTTTCTGCAAAAATTAAAGAAATTTGTTACATTAATGAGAACTGAAACCTTTCTTTTTGTAGTGAGTCACTATAGAAGCACAAACTTGGAGGAAGTAAAGAAAACAAAACAAAAAAAAGGGCGTTTTATAACACAACCCTACACTGTCCATTGACACCAGTCCTCAGTAGTGTTAGTGGTAATAACAAAYGCCGTATCTACTGTACATCTACCTTTTCTCCTCTTTCCCCATCGTTGCCTTTATCTCCCTTTAAGCCTGGCAACCCCTGAAAAAGCACAACTTCACTTAAACTTTGTCTTAAATTAGCRAAAACAGGAAGGAATTTTCATTTCTGTACAAAGCATCAAGATCAAAGAGAGAAGAAATCTGAGGGTGGAGGAAGGTGAAAAGGGGAATAAAATGGAGACAACAAAAAAAAAAATAAAAGCTGTTGGAAAAAAATGGTATTTGTGGAAATAATCTGATGGTATGTAGTGGTACAAAAACATGAACTGTCTAGAATCAAAACATTAGCACGTCTCTGTCTTCTACTTCTTATCTGTGATTGGGTTAAGGAGAGAAATTTAATTAATGTTGTGGGGAAACAGATTGTTTTAATTAGAGTTCCCCCACTGGTGTTGAATAAATTATCTATCTAAAAAGAATCTGGGGCCTCATGTATCAACGGTGCGTACGCACAAAAACCTTGCGTACGCTATTTTCCA